TATCTTGTCGCCATGCTGATCAGGACCCCCACCGGCTATTTTACCATCAGGAAATCAACATTACATTGTAACCTATTAGCAGAAAATACCCCCCAAGTAATGAAGAGTCTACGTGCGCAGTACGGCTCCGCCAGGCCCCATTGTGATCAGGACCCCCAACAGATATTTTACAATTTAGAGTTCAGCATCAACGTGTCATTTATTCCCCAAAATATTCTAGTGAGTGATTCTCTATCTTCTCTTCTCTATCTTCTCTTCTCTATCTTCTCTTCTCTTCTCTATCTTCTCTTCTCTGTGCTCTCTGTCTCCTCTGTGCTCTCTGCTCTTCTCTGTATTGCAGTCTCTGTGCCCACTCTGGGTGACATACGGAGTGACCCTGCACAGCCCGAGCCTGGGGAGCCGGTGACATTTTCCTGTGAGATCCGTGACATGTATCCCGGAGATCCCGCCATTCAGTGGCAGTCGAGTGTAATGGATTTGCCTGCTCATGAAGTGGACTTCAAGAAAGACCCGAAATCCGGAACCTTCTCCGGAACCACAACAGTGACATTCATTCCGCAGGCCAGCGACCATTCCAGCGAAATCAGCCTGGAAGTCAATCATTGTGGAAAACCTCTCCTAAAGAAGACACACATGTATCTGAAAGGTATTGTCCCTCAGCCTCCACACCCCCCACCCACACCAGGTACGTTGTCTGTATTCTCTGATATATAAACAAGTAATAAAACACACATTGTAATATACACAACACAGACCACGTTCTCCCGCAGTGTGAAGTCTCGTGTACGCGCTTATATGAGGGCTGAATGAAGACAATACATATATTATTGTAGCGGGAGGCACATAGTGTATATAATATAATATGATATATAGTGACAAACGAGGGATCTGTCATCACGCAGTCAGTTCGGCAGTCAGGGTTCCGTCCTCAGGCGTCTGCGGGGAGCTGTGTGATTGAGCGGACACATTGAAGCATGCCGCCCTGAGCAGAGTGACGTCTGATGGGGAATGTGTCTTGCTGTCTCCTGAGAAGGACATCGGCGTGAGTGCTGAAGCAGAGTGCGGTCTGAGCAAACACATATTTCATAAAGATATAGCTGGCAGAAGACGCGGCGCAGCCAGAACGTCTCACCAGACTCCTGTATGCGTAATCTGTACAGCCCGACCGTATACCGGCACTGGGCCATATGGGACGTATAATGGGGGGGACACTGGGTGACCCCACTCTGCCAAGTTGAGGGCCATAGGCCGCGAGTTTGACCCGTTTGATCTGATAGGGCGATGTTCAGTAGCCAATCAGAATTGATCAGTAACCAATGTGACTCCGGTATTGATGGTTGCTATAGGTTACTGCCATGGAGACATTTCTCTTGGCTGGACCTGTGTACATGTCTGGTCTGGTTTCTGCAATGTGAACTGTCGGACATCATCTGGACTCCATTCCCCGGAACCTGACTATGTTTTACATTTATCATTACAGAGAGGCCGCCCACATTATCGGACATTATTGTGCGTCCAGCGGGAGTGAGAGCCAATCAGGAAGCCTCATTCCAAGTAACGTTATCCGGATTCTCCCCCCGAGACCTACAAATAAAATGGTATAAGGAGTTCAGCACATTTCCCCAAGCCCAGGTGACAATGTCGGAACCAGAGATCGGATCGGACAATCTGTATAAATGTTCCAGCACGGTGACATTCATCCCGGGGACGAGTGATCATGGGACGTCCATCCGATTTGAGGTGACGCACAACAGGAATGTCCGAGAGAAGAGATACACTCTGAACCTGAAAGGTGAGATCTCCGAGTATTAGTATCCAGGTGTGGGTGGGGGGATGTGTTTTATATTCCAAAGATCCGCCGCACAGAGACCGGAGTGAGCGTTGTCCAAAATTCATTGAAATAAATCCAAGCAAATATCAAAAAGACAGATCCAGAAGAATGATGACCAGCATGAAAGTCTCACACCCCACGCCGACGCCTCTCAAGGTGGCCATACACTTTACAACCCTCGCATGACCTTAGTCTTGCGAGGGTTGTAAAGTAATTTAAAAAACGTACGATCGGCCCATCTTGGACAGGCAGATCGTACTTGCGATCATCGCATGCCCACGCCCCCCTGAGCGGCGGGCTTGCGATGACCGCAATGCTGAACGGGCAGCGTGCGCACACCGGCCCGTTCGGCATTTGCCTCCCGAGCATCATTTAAACCAGCCGAAAATCGTAAGATTCTCGGCTGCTTTTCTAGCGTGCTCCTTAGACAAAAGACGTGCGACCGTACAGTAGAAACGGTCGCACGTCTTCATTCACACTGCTCAATTCTCGTACGATCGCGGGATTTCCCGCCATTCTCGTACGAGAATCGTGCAGTGTATGGGCACCTTCACGCGTTTCACCACCTGGGATTAATCACCGCTCTATGATTAAGCGGCTGTGCGGCTGATCTTTTGGAGACTGACTTGGGAAGTGAGAGGCACCCAGAGTGTGCCGCTGAGGTTAGAGCGGTGAGTCTTCAGAGCTCTTAGGCCCCGTTCACATGTAGCGACTTATTGAGCGATTTACGCCGCGATATCGCGCATTTTTGCAGCGCGATATCGCGAGAAGTCGCCGGCCAATGCTTTTCAATGGAGCTGTCTTAACTCCATGTCGCTCGTCGCAGTCGCAAGTCGCTTCTACAGGACCTTTTTTTCGGCGGATTTTGCGCCATTTTGCTTTTTTTCTATGGAGCCCGACGGAGAAGGACGCGCTACCATCGCTGGAACGTCGCCCCGAAAGTCGCGCTATCCCGGCCGCTGCAAAGGTATGTCGCTACATGTGAACGGGGTCTTATGAAGAATGATGTGTTTATATGTCATTCATTAGACGGGTCCAGGGATAAGGAGCCCAGAGACAAGTTCATGAACACAAATGTCTGGCTGAACTGAATGATCCTGTTGTAGTGAATGAAGATGGGAGGGAAAAATAAAAATAAAAAAAAACCCTTTTTTTTTCTTGTCAGTTTATATCGGTCGCTATGACGGATAAATTAACTTTTTTTTAAAAAAATTTGGCTATTAGGCCGCTCCAAACTTAGGAACAGCTAATAATAACCTTAGAGACTGATCCTGACTTTAGTCAGATTCAGAGCTCACTAAGGCCTTGTTCACACCAAGCGCGGAGCAGATCCAGACCAGAGCAGGCGCAGACCGGATCAAAACTGCGTCCAATGAATTCCTATGGTATTTTGAGCTCCAGTTCACATCGCAGCGTGCGGATCCAGACCAGATCCAGAGCAGGTGAAAAAACTGCGGCAAGCCCTATTTTACCTGCTCTGGATCTGCTCTGGAACGCAGCAAAAACGCATGCAAGTGCCTGAATTCTTTAAAAAAAACTTTAAAAAAAAATATATAAATTTTGTTTAACCAAAACCGGCCCTAAACGCATCCAAAACGCGTCAAAAACGCGGCACAACCCACTGCACTGCGTGTGCAGAAACCTGACCGGATCTGGTCTGCATTTGGTGTGAACAAGGCCTAAAAGCTCTTTGAGCGTGCCTAGACGATCAGAACTGATACATTTCACTCAAAAAGATATACATTGTATCTTTTTAGTGAAATGTATCTAAACATCGGGCTCTCGAGCTGTCAAAACAAATAGCAGAGAGGGGAGTCACTCCGCTACCTCTCTGCTCTCTCAGCTGTCATATACGGGATCGCTAATTGCAGTCCTGTATTTGCATGTAACGGCTTTCATTACTGAATACATCAATACTGACCCATCCATTAGTGACTGGTAACCGCTGATAATCAGCTGTTACCAGCATTACAAAGCCCGATATAACTCGTCACGTACAGTGTATGTGGCCATACACTGTACGTCTCCCGTCACAAAGGGGTTAATGACTTATCATAGTTCTGCGCGGGGTCTCTGTATGAAGGCGGCCATCTTGGTAGAGGAGCAGGGCTTTGCTTCCTAATGTCAAAGCTGCCCCCCTCATGACTGGTGGGGTAATGATAGAGGTGGAGGAAACACAGATCACCAGGATGGATTAAGCAGCAGGGAGATCCTTGCACTGCAGGTCCTCAGGTACAGCTTCCTCTCCAGCAAGCAGAACAGTGATCAGCACACTGCTGATATCACCACTGTGACCAGCTCACAGGACCCCATACATGTATCAGCACTGGGACACTGAGGGCAGTGAGGTGAATGGGATTGATTTGGGGTGGATGTGAGCTCTGTGATGTTGGGGTCTCTGATGCCGATCGATCTGATTGATACATATTGATATTTCCTGATATTGAAGATTTCTCTTGTTTGTTTTATAGAGAGTTCTGACACGACAAAAGCCGCACAGAAAACCGGTAAGAACAAATCCTCCGGATAATGGCTGAATGGAAATCTTTCTTTCTTCTATTTCTGTGTTATGGTCAGGATAAATATTATATAAAAAGATGATTTTAGGTAAATATGAATAAATAATATAATGATATAAAGACGGGAATGTGACGGACCCCCGTACTCAGGATGAGTATGTCCGCCGCTGTCTTCTTCCTTGCTGAGGAGGTATTGGAACCTGAAGATCCTTAGCTCCCAGTTTCCCCAGTCACTAGCCAAGGCTTGAGTGTAGGTGACACCCCCCCC